TTCAAGTTTTATCATCCCCGGGATGTTTACTAGACTCTTGTTCGGACAGATTTCAGTGAGTTATTCCTAAAAATTACAGACCTACAATAAAAAACTACATATTTCCATGCAAAAAAATGTACCGCTTTCAGCACCAAAAATCTGAAATAATCATACCGCCAGGGAGGTTAAAAGGACATGTTGCACTGGCGATTCTGCTGTTGGCAATGCCATTGCAGAACTGCCATAAGTATGAGCTCTTAGTGATCCCCACCAGCAGCAAAATCACTAGTATGACAAGAGCACAGAGGTGGTTTTTTTTTTTTTTCTTTTTTCCATCTTTTCTTGGAGCTCTTCATTTAAATAAAGAATACATACGACAGAGTGAAAACCCCGCTCAGTGTCCACGGATACACACTTTTATCTAAACTCCACCATTATTAAGGAGGGTGGGTCACAGGGCTGGTCCGCGGTGCGTTTCTGGAAAGAAGGGGGCATCCTGCTCCAGTCCACAAGAGAAAACCGCATGATGGATCTTTGGTACCCTCTTAATAAAACTTGATCTTCAAAAGGAAGGACATCTTCTCTGAGACGGAAACAGGAAAACACAATGATGAGCATTACAAATAGTACATTTAATAAAGTGCATCTAACGGAGTGGATGAGTATAGGGATGGAAATGGAGCTCATTACTTTTTTTTTTTTTACAAAAATCCTTGAGTTATTATTATAATTTCAGGTACTTATATAGCACCGTCAATTTACGCAGCACTTTACGTATATATTGTACATTCACATCAGTCCCTAACCCTCAAGGGGCGTACAATCTAAGGTTAAAGGATAAGTTCATCTTTCAGAAAAAAATAGTAATAAAAAAAAATATTTTTTTTTGCAGTTATTATTATTATTATACAGTATTTATAAAGCGCCAATGGTTCGCTCAGCGCTGTACATTACAAAGGGGGACAGAACATGTGACAGAACAATACCAATACAATGCAAAACATGAGGGGATTGAGGGCCCTGCTCTTTCGAGCTTACAATCTAGGAGGGAGGGGAGTTAAAAAAATGTGCATTTATTATTTTATATATTATATATAATATTTATTATATCTCTGATGCCATGCAGGTCTCCTGCAGACCTGTCAGAATATCTGCTTGCTGTACGGGATGTACTGTCAAGCAGATATTCTGACAGGAAGAATCAATGAACTACCATGGGGCTTCACAGCACGGTGGTAGTTCATTGAGGACTAGAAGATGACAGCTGCTAAGGCTGGTGGGAGTTGTAGTCTCTCATTCACAGATGACTGTGAATGAGTCACAGATGACTGTGAATGAGTCACAGATGACTGTGAATGAGTGAAGCGGCCGTGTGGGAGGAGCCCTGCACAGCCACTTTTTTTTCAAATTTGACAACTAGCGAGGGGGTAGAAGATCCCCCGCTAGCTGTCAAAGGGGGGGGGATCGGGGGTGAGCGGGCGCCGGTCTGAACTTAACATGGTACATGTTACACCCTGAATATGGGTGTAACATATAACACGTTACAAAAGGTGAACTTATCCTTTAAGCTTTAAAGCTCAACTACAGACAAATGGCTAAATACCTTAGATTGTACACCCCTTGAGGGTTAGGGACTGATGTGAATGTACAATATATATGTAAAGTGTTGTGTAAATTGATGGTGCTATATAAGTACCTGAAATAAATACACAGATGTAATATATATATATACTGTATGGGAGCGGAGGTGCTTCTATAACTTATATTTAAAAATATGCATTTAATAATGTATTAACAAATACAGAATTGCATAATTTGGCTTTTACATCTGCCTGGAGCAGGGGCGGACTGACCATTTGGAAACTCGGGCGCTGCCCGAGGGCCTGGGGTCAGTAGGGGGCCCCATGAGATGCCCCTGGGACCTTTTTCATAGGCTTTTTTGAGTTTTGGCAAGGACACAGGGGCCCCATGATCCCTATTGCCCAGCGGCCCCATGATCCCCTATTGCCCGGGGGCCCCATGAGTTGTCAGTCCGCCCCTGGCCTGGAGTTCAGTTTTACACAACCACAACACATGGGAGTGTGTATATATATATATACTTGGTGAATGTCTGATAGATAGATATATATATATATATATCAGACATTCACCAAGCATTCACTGCATGTTTATTGTGAAAACTGGTGAAAGTCATATTCAATGCTTTATAAATATGCCCCATGAATAAGACAAGTTAATGAAAATATAATATATTCCAGGTAACCAGTCCTTGGGTGTGGTGGCTGCATTAGTTTTCTTTTTTGAGGCATTTTTTAACCTGATCCTGTCAGTAACACACTTCCTGTGCTAGGGTGGCAGCGCTCCTTTACTGTACTGTGTCTATGGAGGAGCAGCATTGTCATCCTAGGACAGGAAGTATGCAGAGACTACAGAACACTCCCCTCTCCTTATCTCCATAATATAATGGATATTCGCTTTGTAGTCCAGCAGGGCAGAACTGGGCAGGGCTGACTATTAGTGATGAGCGTAGGTGTGTTTGGATACTAGTCCGAACCTGCCAGGCATTTCCTTCCCCGCACATAGCACAGCACATATTCAAGGGGCTGGTATATGCAGAGCTGTGGGTTTGGGAATACCTCGGCCACTTATGACTGGCAGCCCGCAGTAACAGCTTCCTAGCAAGATAGCTCTGGTGGGTTCAAACTAGGATCCGAACATGCCTGAGCACATCTCTGCTGACTACACTGATCGCGACTTCAGTGCAGCAGAGGCAGCTTGGTACAGGGCATTAAAAGTTCACTGGATTTCTGGCAGCTCAACAAGTATTTTTATGAACTTTCAGTGTTTTTTAAAGGAACAAAACATGGAGAAATGTGCATGTACTGAGAGATGTACTACAGATATTTTTTATTGCCCTGACATACAATTTAAAGCGGAGTTCCAGTGGAAATAAAAAAAAAAAAAAAAAGTCAGCAGCTAGAACAACTGTAGCTGCTGACTTTTAAAAAATGGACACTCAGCTGTCCCTCGATCCCGTAGTGTCCCTCCCGCAGCCTGTTTCGTCTGCTGCCGTGTTCCCAGTGCTGGCATCTTCAGTGTGGGCACCTGGCTGTGACAGCTTGCGTTTGAAACGCTGATAAAATCTACTGCTGAATGCAAGTTTGGTGCGTTCAAAAAAATGACTGTAAACTCAAATGCCTGTAAACGACTGTAAACTCAAATGCCTGTAAACGACCGTAAATGACGATGTGTACATGGACACATAGGAAAACATTAGGGAGAGTTCAGGGGCTGCTGAAAAAAAAATGCAGAAAAGCTCCTAAAAGTGAGTTTATCAGCTGCAGTGTACATGGAGCCTAATGCAGGCCATAGACGGGGGGGGAAATCGGCCGATTTTCGCACCGTTAGTGGGTTGATTGGTCGGCCGTTTTTTGGGGTTTTGGCCCATTTTTTTTATCGGTAAAGTTGGAAAATTCGCACCCGATTTTAACGATCGGTCGATTTTCCTGGCATTGATGGGCAAATCGGCAGATCGTTTTACCGATAAAAAAAATCTGTGCATGAGCCGTGACCTGGAAAAAGAAAGAAGAAAAAGAAAGAAGAAGAAAGAAAGAAGAAAGAAGAAGAATTCTAGTCCGCTATTATATTTTATATGAAAAGTCTTGCGATTGCAACAATGTATCTATTTGTATCCAAATAAAAACATCTGTATCCAAAATGGATACATTGTTGAAACCGCAATACTTTTTTCATGTAAAATATAATAGCGGAGCTCCCTGCAAGGGAGAGAAGTAAAAATGCCGGCCGTAGACGGGACGAAAATCGGACGATTTTTTTACCGTTGCTGGCAAAGTCGGCTGATTGAACGACCGATTTTTCTTTTTTTTTAAAAAAAAAAACAGCCGATTTTCGACCTGTCTATGGCCTGCATTACACTAGAAGTCCTGCCCCTGTCCTTTCTCCAAAGGAATAGTCTGAGTAAGGAGGAGGGTTTTAGATGTGACAACAGGCTTTTTACAGAAGCTACAGAGAGCTGAGAGGAAAACATATGAAAAGAAGCCGAGATCGCCATCTGCTGGCTGCATATAAAATACATCATATTCATGTGCAATATTTCATACTTATCTAGCCTAATTTTTTTTAAATTCTATTATTTGTATTTTTTAGTCCTGAACAATACATAATACAAAACTGCTACACATTCAATTTCATTTAAAACTGACGCAGAGGAAAGAGATCAGTTTACTTATTACTTACCTGTTTGGGACACGCGTCACATCACAATTGCCTGTAATAACACAGAAGGATTACTATTTTATGCAGACTTCAGATTTACACACATGTATTAAAAGACTGTAAAATAATAAAGAGGAAGCAGACATGGAAACCTACGCTGAGGGCTATTGTGCACGGACTTTGTGTTTTCCTGCTGATGTTGGGTTGTGATATATTTCTGAAGGACGTGAAATGCAATGTTAATATTTTTACGCAGGACTCCAATTTAGATATAAAACATTCAGTCATCTTCTCAGTCTACTCACATATGCAAATATATGGAAACTTGATTGAAAACATTCCAGACTGTCTTTGGCTGTCATCAAATTTTTGGCTGTGACCAGGGGCGGACTGACCATTTGCAAACTTGGGCACTGCCCGAGGGCCTGGGGTTAGTAGGGGGCCCCATGAGATGCCCCTGGTACCTTTTTTATAGACTTTTTTGAGTTTGGGCAAGGACACAGGGGCCCCATGATCCCCTATTGCCCGGGAACCCCATGAGTTGTCAGTCCGCCCCTGGCTGTGACAGTCCAATTCATACAGCTGTTTCCTGCCCCAGCTCCTGTCATCTCTACACCCCAGCATAGTTTTTCAGTCTACATGGGTGATATTTGCATTACCCAGAGTTTTTTTTTTTTTTAAGAGAATAGGTGCATGTTTTTACATCCATTGTGGTGCATTCGGAGACCATTCCCAAGTAACAGGCTGCCTTTTCACAAAGAACGGTAACACATTTATAATTTATTACAGGTACTTATATAACGCCGTCAATTTACACAGCGCTTTACATATATATTGTACATTTACATCAGTCCCTAACCCTCAAGGCAGTGTTTCTCAACTCCAGTCCTCATGGACCCCCAACAGGTCATGTTTTCAGGATTTCCATTATTTTGCACAGGTGATTTGATCAGTTTCACTGCCTTAGTAATTACCACAGCTGTTTCATCTGAGGGAAATCCTGAAAACATGACCTGTTGGGGGTCCATGAGGACTGGAGTTGAGAAACACTGCCTCAAGGGGCGTACAATCTAAGGTCCCTAACTCACATTCATACATACACATACTAGGGACAATTAGGAAAGGATCCAATTCACCTACCAGCATGTCTTTGGAGTGTGGGAGGAAACTGGAGTACCTGGAGAAAACCCACGCAGGCACAGGAAGAACATGCAAACTCCAGGCAGGTGATGCCGTGGGATTCGAACCAACGTTCCTAGTACTGCCAGGCAGAAGAGCTAACCATTTAGCCACTGTGCTGCCCATACACATCACAATCGAAAGCTTAATTATAAATGGTCCAAATCACAGGTTTGCTTTACACCGCACATTCTAGCAGTTTACAGTATTAGATAATACACAGTCCAGTTCTTAATCAGCTTCTTAGTGTCCTAGTGTTGGTATCTTCTTATTCAATATTCTTCATAAAGTCATAAATTCCTCTTCTTCCACTTAATACCAAAGATAGTGCTAATAAGTGCAAAAAACACTCCACCGTGCGACATCTCAGATGAAGTCAGAAGTGATGAAACGCGTCAGGACGTGTTGTCAGATGTAAACCGGAAGTTTACCTTCACATAGAAAATGCACAAATAAAAAGGGTGTCTCATCATGTATTCAATCCCAATCACAAACAGCAGGGAAAAAACCTTCTCCAAAATGGATGCTCCGTAACTTCCGGTTTACGTCTGACGTCACGTCATGGCGCGTTTTGTCACTTCCGACTTCATCTGTGTTAGGGACCAGCCTCTAGCGTTCCACAGACCAGAATTCCCCAGGGCGTGGAATCTAAGTCCCGACCTGCTTGTTCACCAGAGCCCCTGATGGTGGGGATGGACTTGGAGCAAGCCGAGACCAGGTTGCGACCCCTGGGTGCAGCCAGCCATGGTAGAGGCACCTGTCGGTGGTACGCAGCAGGTGAGAGTCTGATGTGAGGAGGCAGAGTAAGCGAGGTCAGACAGGCCGGGTCGGTACCAGCGGAGCAGGTCGGTACAAACTGCAGGCAGAAGAATAAAACGGGTCACGGTCCAGGTTCGGCAACAGGGGATCAAAAGTGTAGAAGCAGGCAGGAGAATGGTCAGGCAAGCCAGGGGTCAGAGCAGGAGAAGTCAGCAGATCAGGATCAAGCAGGGTCAGCAGCAAAGTAAAACTCACAGAACACAGGAAAGACCAAGGAATGACCATACGGCAACTAAGCACTGTCAGAGTCCATTTAAATAGGGCGCCCTGCGCTCCTATTGGTGCCAGGTGCGCGTCCGCGATTGCGAGTGTGTATGGGCGAGCACCGCTGCCGTCGCGGATGCCCAGGTCCTAGTAACCGCATGCCAGTGCGCCTCGGCACATCGCGCATGAGCAGACCGGCTCAAGATCCCTGACAATCTGAGATCTCAGATGAAGTCGGGAAGTGACGAAATGCGTAAATACATGCTGACACACTTTTTATTTGTACATTTCCTATGTAAAGGTGGACGGACCTGGGAGGTCTAATTACGGAGGAAGGTGGAATTTGTTAAAGTTTTTCAAGTTTTGGAGAGGGTAAGAGTAAGGAAAACAGATGTTTAGAAGTGGACGCACGGTGGAGTGTCTTTTCCCACTTATTAGCACTATCTTGATTTCAGTGGAAGAAGAGGAATTATCACGTGTTAAGGAAGAATATTGAATAAGAAGATGCCAACACTATTGGGGTGTTTAGTACACTAAGAAGCTGATTAACCTCTTCACGGCCGGCCGAACGCAAATGTGTGGCCTCCCGGCATCTGGGCCTAGACACCGAGTGGCCGCACATTTGCGTTCTTTTAAAAAAGGACATATGTGCCGAGAGCGCGCTCCCAGCACACATGTCCGGTACTCACGGAAAGGTCCAGATCTCCTCTTTCGATCGGGACTTTTCCCCGATCAAGTGACCGCCGTGATGACGCGTCACGGTGGTCACATGACCCTAAACCCCACCCGCCTCCTGGCTTCTGAAACTCTTAAAGGGCCGGGAGGCGACGGCGTGAAGGGTTTAAGAACTGGACTGTGTGTTTTGGACCTTTCGGGGGAGAAAGACTATTTTGGCGTCTGAGGTTTATTGTGTTATTGTGTTACTAAGTATCACACCGATATATTTATTTATTTTAGTATTAGTTAATACCCCACTACACACCTGGGGGAATATTTACAAATCAGTGAATGTGACATTCACCAAATATTCACTGCAGATAAATCATCCTGGGGCACTAGGATCATTAGTTCAATTCCCAACCATGGCACTACTGCAGAGAGTTTGCATGTTCTCCCTGTGCCTGCGTGGGTTTCCTCCAGGTACTCCAGATTTCTCCCATAATCCAAAGACATGCTGGTAGGTTAACTGGCTCCTGTCCAAATTTGCCTTAGTATTTGTATGTATGAATGTGAGTTAGGGACCTTAGGTTGTACGCCCCTTGAGGGTTACGGACTGATGTGAATGTACACTATATGATATGTAAAGTGCTGCGTAAATTCTCAGCGCTATATACTGTAAGTAGTAATAAATAAAAATAGATGTGTTTAAAATGACAGCAAATGATTCATCCACAGGGAATGTTTATTGAATGTCTCATTCAATGCTTTATAAATATATCCCCTCTGGTGTAAGTGCAGAAACAGCTCATCAGACTGACCTGAACGCTCCATCGATCTACAGGGTGACGCTGAGCCTTGTATGGTGGGTCTGCTACCAAGAACAGAGTCGGTCCTTCTCCCGAATCCTAAAGATTGGAGCACCGATGTTCTCTCTGGGTTGAAGAGCTTGAAGGCCTCTTTTCTCTCCTTCTGTCTGACTTCTACAACAAGACACATTTCATATAATAAGTGGTGACTATTTTCATTCGCAGATAATGGTTGTAACACAGTAATGCTGAGTAGGGATGCACCGATGCGTTTTTTGTTGTTTACCGCTGAGTATGAGTACCGATACCTCTGCCATACAAAATGATGGGGCTCAAATCGCACTGCAAAAGAATTGCATTTGGTTTCCCACACAGCTCCTGTGTGAACCCAGGCTTGTCATAGTGACTTTGAACCTAAGTTTGCACAGGAGTGGTGTAGAAAACCTCCCAGCATAACGGGTTCCATCAGCTCCGGCTCCTGATCTGACTGTGGACATCAGCGGCTGCGGCTTGGGCTCCTCCTGCCTCTCCCATGGCTCTCTTCCCCAGTCTCCAGCAGTTTGAGCCATCCATTGGACCCCCTCCTCATTTCCCTTCCCCTCCCCCATCCACCTGTACCAGATTGCTGATCCTCTGCTGTCAGGCACTGAAAAGCTGCTTCACTGGTCCAGGGATTTGAAACCCCAAGGCTTTCTATCCTCTCCTTGCAGTGCTGACAGTACAGATTATAGAGATTCTAATTGGTCCGCACCATCACATGGATGCCATCTAGCCCATACTGTCAGCACTGCAAGCAGAGAGCAAGCCACGGGGTTTCAAATCCCTAGACCAGCTTTTCATTGTCTGACAGCACAGGATCAACAATCTGGTACAACGGGAGCGAGGCGGGGGAGTTGGCAAGAGCCACTGGAGGATGGTGGGAGAGAGCCATGGGGGAGGCTGGAGGAGACCAAGCCATGGCCGCTTGGACCAACAATGGTCAGTGCTACAGGACTTTCAGGGGCTGTGTCAATCTGGTCTGCTTGGGGCATGTCGTACATGCACGCGTTGCTGGTTGTGGCCTCTTGGCTGTGGTGGAGTGCGTGCCTAAGCATGTGCATGGTTGGTTGAGGGTGTACACATTCTGGCATGCATCCTTGTGCATAGAACACGTCAAGAAGAGTATTTAAACCCTTCCTCTATGGCAGCTGGAGCTGTGACCCCTTGATAGTATCATGGAAATTTTCTATTACAGGTTGTCCTTTAAATGTGTCATATATTAGTGTTATTCATATGTCTCTCGTTTGGCTTTATTAAAGCTCTGAAGGCTGCAATTAGGCCATGCGCATGTACAATGTATGTATTACAGTACTCAGCTCGGTAATGGATGAGATGGCAGATCTGTGCTTATAGACTGGCGTGTATACCACCACGGCATTCGATGCGAATGCCGCCGGCGGTGGGCCGCGGGCCTGTATCCACATATCAGCAGTATAGTACCACATGGACTTCGTATGGCCAGGCGCCAGGCAGTGCGAACTCCGCGTGTAGGCTCATGTATATCTCTACAAGCCGCTACCGACCTGAACTGACTGGCACTGTTTAATCTAGGGGATGCTTGTACAGACAATGTACATACTGCTGGGAGCTGATAGCATGTAAATAATGTGAAACTTGCTCTCCAAAGCGAGCTTACGGGGGGGAGGACAGAAAAACTGGAAAAACTGGTTTTTAGTATAGGTTAAGAGGGAACTTTGCACTCCATACACGAGAATGTCCATCCTGCTCGGACACTCCCTATACAGTGTTCTGTGGGAGGGGATTGACTTTGCCCCGTGCAGGGGGTGTGTTTTGTAAGATAATAAAAACAGGAGTCTGGTGTTAGACCCAGGCAGAGTAGATTCCAACTTTAACCTGGGAGTATTGTCTGATTTATTCCTGGATTACTGGAGCTCCATTTCCCCACATCTCAAAAGAGCTAAACCTTTGCACACCAGTTGGAGGCGCAGGAATCGTGGAGCTATGCTGCAGTCGCGGTAAGTGGAGGGCACAATACGGTTGCAGCGAAGTTCGCACAGCTTTTTGGGAGATTGCTGTGCATCCAACTGTGGGCATTCACGGTAAGGAAAATTCATTGAAAGCCAATTTCCAAGACAATAGCTATCTTGTTAGCGTGATTAGCCTGACTTCTACCTTCCTTTTCTGCTACTGACCCAGATTGCCTGACTCTGTCCGTCTCTCCAACTACTGCTGCTGCCTGCTGCTACTGCTCCTGTTGCTGACTCTCCCTGTTATGGACAATCCTTGCCTCTGACCTGCCTTGATCTCTGCCTGAACCAGACCTGATTGCCCCCATTCTGTCTTCTCATCGTGTCTTTCATGTTCCTGCTAGCCCTTGGTGGAGCAATCCTAAAAAGCCACGACCTGGAGATATCTTGCAGCAAAGTAGCCTGGTGGGCATTTTGGATACCGGCCCATCATCCCTTTTCAGGTGCTCTGGTGAAGATCAAAGTGTCACTTAGACTTCACGCCTCCGGCGAACCCACCTAACCTGTCATGGGTGAATCCCATCACAATCAGTCAGTGGACTTAGGGGCCTTCCTTAAACTGAAATCCCCTCTTTAACTGTATGAGAACCCAAAAGTGAACCTGTGCTTTGTCCATGCAGAGCAAAGTAACAGATTCACTCTATTGCTACTTGTAGGTACAGTACTTGAAGGTATGGGGAAGCATGTGACTCATTGCCCTTTCTGTAAAATATAAGAGCAGAAGCTTGAATGACCAGTAACTAGATCTAAGCAAGTTACATGGGGAGGATAAATAGGCTGGTGGAAGAGCAGAAAGAAGGCAACTATGAGGTGGTGGGGGGGGGCTTGGCAATTAAAGGATATGTAAACCAATCATTACATATTCCTAATATGTGCCTGCTTTGCCATACACTTGTATGGAAAAGTCTCCTGTTTGTATTGCTTCCTTTGTGTGAAATCCCTGGTGTTCCTGCCATTCCCTCTGCATTCCTATTAAAAACTGACCACACAAAGCATGAGAGCACAGCGTGGTCAGTTCCCGAGCTATGCTGGGATATCAGCGTGCTCTCCTCCAATGATCAGACTTCTGCTGACAGGATCTACCTGTACTGCATAGAGACACATAGAAACCCAGTGTTGGCATCACTTGGTCCAAGATAGCTTGTTGATGAGAGGGGGAGTGAGGAACCAGGGAAGGCAAAATATAAACTGAATACAAATGAACTTTAACAAAGGGGGGCATTGAAAAGGGTATTTTACTGGTACTAGTTGTTCAGCTTTAAGATAAAAAAACTTTCCTATGTCCAGGCATTTTTTTTTTTGTAATAAAAAATGCCGCCAAATTTTGGGATCAGTACTTAAACTAACATCAAAGGGTGGTTAGAAAAATGATACATTTCACCCCGCCCACTGGGGCTTTGTCACTCTGTGATCAAGTTCCCCGGTGGGTGGAGCGAAATGCGTCAGTTGTCATGGTGGCTGATTCTACACACTCATCCGAACTCCTTGGGTCGGTAGAGCGGCACCTGTATCCTTGCACGATTTGAGCTTCTGGTGGCACACTGGGACGCTGGCTCCAGGGGCGGACTGACCATTTGGAAACTAGGGCACTGCCCGAGGGCCCGGGGTCAGTAGGGGGCCCCATGAGATGCCCCTGGTACCATTTTCATAGGCTTTTTGAGTTTGGGGCAAGGACACAGGGACCCCATGATCCCCTATTACCCGGGGGCCCCATGAGTTGTCAGTCCACCCCTGGCTGGCTCCCTCCTTCCGATACCAGCGGGGTAATCTTTCCTTTCAGAAGATTAATAAAAATATATAAAACAGTGACGTCATATCCGGCGTGGGCACCATCTTGGTGCTCCTATACCTGAATGCAGTACACCCTTTGAGTGGTGTGAGGCTTGTTTGTACTGGAGGAGCATGTGAGTAGATCTCTGTTCATTTTTATCATTGACCTAATAAAGCGGTTTTACACTATGTAAGTTTTTTTGCCTTACTGGTGACTACTCGGGAGGGGTATTTACCTATACCACCAACGATCCGAGATAGAGACAAGAGGAGGGGAATCCCACCATCATTATCTGAAAGGACCCATCCAACTCCAGGAGAAAAGACCCACTATATAATAAAAGGCTCATTGGTCCTTAGGGGCCTGGGCAGAAGGTTGAGGGTGGCACTCTTTTTTTTACCACCTATTTGAGGATTGGCACTTGCAGTTCACATCCGCATGAAATTCTATATTATGCACATGGACACTATTCACTATATTGTGTTTTAAGTCACTATAAAGTGCATGAGATGTTTTTTTTTTTGTCTGAGTGTGTAACACCCCAGCCTATATTTATTTTTCCTATATGTGTTATGGTTGTCTGGGCTATATGATATATGGTGGTGTAAGAAAAAATACAAGAGTATGCAATTTATGATGATACATTTATATTCACGGTTTGAGCGCCGCACTGTTTTATATATTTTTATTAATCTTCTGAATACGGTTGGGGTGTTGAGATTGTGGCACCTTTAGTGCTGGCTGCTTAGTAGCACTAGTATATTTTCTTGTTTATTTGTAATCTTTCCTTTGCTTCCTGGCTTGCAGCGGCGCCACAGGTCTTCTTTACATATTAGAAAAAATGATACAATCATCATCTTCCTGTCTGGGGGTAATCCTACAATCTCTGCATGAAGATACGTGTGGCCAGCTTTGCCTTATTCCATTTTCAGAAAACAAATTTTCAGCTACTTGATTTCCTGTGTCCTCCGCACAAAAATAACAGATTTCCCCCGACTATCCTGCGTGTCGTGCGGAGAGAATCCGGCACTTGTGTAACGCCAACAGACAGATGGAAATTCCCTGACACACAACCTTAAACAACACAAAGCAGCTCCAGGGACTCAACAGATTTTCAGCGGTCTCGTTTTTACAAATCCAACTTAATTTAGGAGCTGGACTGTGTCACTGACTTCATAAAATTACAGCAGGGCCAAAAAAATCTGCGGGCAGGAAAAATCTGTTTCAGTTTAGAATGCATGTGGGATTTTTTTTTTTGTGTGGAAGATTTACATCCAGCACACATACAAGGGTTCATTTAACGGTGGGATTAAATGCAGGCGTCATGGCCGCACTTACGTTCCCCGATCGAGGAGCTCGACTGACGGAAGGTGCTGGATGATGTAAGCACGATAGCCTGATTCTTGTTGTAGAGGGTTATGAAAATAAGTCTGCAAGGAAAAGAGGCAAAAGTGATTATCGATCGACTAAAGGCAGATATAATAATAAAAAAAAAAAAAAAATCACAAATTAATGCAGTCCCCCTGTTACATAGTTAGTCTGGCTGAAAAAAGACAAAAGTCCATCCAGTTCAACCATAAAATAAAAAAAAAAAAGTTATAATCCTATACCCACAGTTGATCCAGAGGAAGGGAAAAAAATCCCCAGCAAAGAATGATCCAAATTTGCTCCTGCAGGGAAAAAAATTCCTTCCTGATCCCCCGAGAGGCAATCGGATATTTCCTGGATCAACTTTACCTATAAAATGTTAGTATCCAGTTATATTCTGTGTATCTAAGAAAGAATTCAGGACTTTCCTACAGCAATCCACTGAGCTGGCCAGAACCAACTCTTGAGGGAGTCGATTTCACATTTTCACAGCTCTCACTGTGAAGAAAACCTTTCCGTGTTTGGAGATTAAATTTCTTTTTCTCCAGACGTAAAGAGTGCCCCCTTGTCCTCTGTGATGACCTCAGGGTGAATAACTACACCGAGTTCACTATATGAACCACTGATGTATCATACATGGAGATCATAACCCCCCTTATGTATTATACGTGGAGATCATATCCCCCCCTTATGTATTATACGTGGAGATCATATCCCCCTTATGTATTATACATGGAGATCATATCCCCCCCTTATGTATTATACATGGCGATCATATCCCCCCCTTATGTATTATACATGGAGATCATATCCCCCCTTATGTATTATACATGGAGATCATATCCCCCCTTATGTATTATACATGGAGATCATATCCCCCCCTTATGTATTATACATGGAGATCATATCCCTCCTTATGTATTATACATGGAGATCATATCCCCCCCTTATGTATTATACATGGTGATCATATTTTCGCCCCCTTATGTATTATACATGGAGATCATATCCCCCCCTTATGTATTATACATGGAGATCATATCCCCCCTTATGTATTATACATGGAGATCATAACCCCCCTTATGTATTATACATGGAGATCATATCCCCCTTATGTATTATACATGGAGATCATATCCCCCCCTTATGTATTATACATGGAGATCATATCCCCCCCTTATGTATTATACATGGAGATCATATCCCCCCTTATGTATTATACATGGAGATCATATCCCCCCTTATGTATTATACATGGAGATCATATCCCCCCTTATGTATTATACATGGAGATCATATCCCCCCTTATGTATTATACATGGAGATCATATCCCCCCCTTATGTATTATACATGGAGATCATATCCCCCCTTATGTATTATACATGGAGATCATATCCCCCCTTATGTATGTTATACATGGTGATCATATCCCCCTTATGTATTATACATGGAGATCATATCCCCCCCTTATGTGTATTATACATGGAGATCATATCCCCCCTTATGTATTATATACATGGAGATCATATCCCTCCTTATGTATTATACATAGAGATCATATACCCCCCCTTATGTATTATACATGGAGATCATATCCCCCCTTATGTATTATACATGGAGATCATATCCCCCCTTATGTATTTCTTCATGGAGATCATATCCCCCCTTATGTATTATACATGGAGATCATATCCCCCCTTATGTATTCTTCATGGAGATCATATCCCCCCTTATGTATTATACATGGAGATCATATCCCCCCTTATGTATTATACATGGAGATCATATCCCCCTTATGTATTATACATGGAGATCATATCCCCCCCTTATGTATTATACATGGAGATCATATCCCCCCCTTATGTATTATACATGGAGATCATATCCCCCCTTATGTATTATACATGGTGATCATATCCCCCCTTAATCTCCTCTTCTCAGTAGAGAATAAATTCAGTTCCTCTAATCTTTCCTCATAGCTGATCTCCTCCATGCCTCTTATCAGTTTGGTTGCCCTTCTCTGTACTTTCTCCAGTTCCCCAATGTTCTTTTTGTGAATTGGAGCCCAAAACTGAACTGCATATTCCAGATGAGGTCTTACTAATGATTTGTACCGGGAAGAAATGATATCTCTCTCTCTCTGGAGTCTATACCTCTCCTAATACAAGAGAGGATTTTGCTCGCTTTAAAAACCGCAGCTTGGTATTCAAGATATTGCTGTAAACCATTTTGGATTTTTTTTTTAACTTTTTTTTTTTTTTTTTTTTAATATTGCCATCAATAGGGTGGTGACACGTCCCCTATGTGATTGCATGGGCAGGTGACATTTCCTCTTTATGAAGACGTTATTTATCTATTTATTTCAGGTATTTATTAAGCTGTCAATGTACGCAGCGCTTTACATATATATTGTACATTCACATCAGTCCCTAACCCTCAAGGGGCGTACAATCTAAGGTCCCTAACTCACATTCATACATACACATACTAGGGACAATTTAGATGGGGAGCCAATAAACCTACCAGCATGTCTTTGGAGTGTGGGAGGAAACCAGAGTACCCAGAGGAAACCCACGCAGGCACAGGGAGAACATGCAAACTCCAGGCAGGTGGTGCCGTGGTTGGAATTCGAACCCATGACCCTATAGTACTGCCAGGCGGAAGTGCTAACCATTTAGCCACTGTGCTGCCCTGGGGTCTATTAGACCCCCCAAAAGTTTCCCCTGCCCTCCAATGCAACTATTCAAGCTCAGAAAGTCAGAAATGGAAGTTCCAATATTTCTCCCATGAAAGGAGAGAATCTGCCACAAAGTAAATGTACCTGTGTGAGAAGTATCCTCTGGAAGTTGCCATTTTCTCATTTCCAGGCTGTACGATCCAAGGATCCTCGGTAGGGATTCAGGACAGGGATCCTGAAACTCTGCCGAGTAATGATGTCACTACCCCACAATAATGGCAGCTTCCATCTGATGCTTTTCTAACAGGTATTTCTATCCTATAATGACTGACAGCTGTCACAAATCCAGGACATGGAGGAAGTCTGCGGGGTGCTATTTCAGAGCTATTGTTCAGTTTGATTTACTACTGTGAGAGGGAGCTGGCAGGTCGATGCGTTCAGTGATTACTTAGGACTCGGAGGCTGGTCATCCCATTTACAGCTCTTGTAACGGTGGCCTGCAGCTCGGTCAAGCGGTTATCATTCAGCGAGTCAGTGTATGTAACGAGGTTAAATGCTTCAGAGAACCTGCAGATAAATAAAAAGGGACAGGTCACATCTCAGAATGAAGAGTCTACTGGCTGCCAAGGAGAAAATTACATGATGTGAATACATGGATCAACCTGGGGGCAGAAGAATGACACCAACATAGGCTGTGGCCACTGACATCACAAACCTAAAGGAAGAAACCGCTTGCTAGATTAACATGACTGAAAGCAGTAAAAAGTCAATAAAATATCCACTGTATTTTCTCTGAAATGATGCAAACTTCCAGAGCTTTTACTGCCTCAAATAATAGTAAATGCGCACTCACCAGACGCATAGGTTATGCGCATATAAGAATCATCGTGGCTCCTGGCGTCCATCTTTACTGGGGTCAGTACGGCTACTTCTCTTTCTTTTAAATGATTTTGAATGTGCATACTGCCCTGATTTTATACTAGTATCAATAAATTGTGTCTGGGAAATACTACACTATCTCTGGCATCTGTTTTCTGGCTCTCCTATGTGGAGCTATTACCCCACAGAGAGAGTGCTTATACATACCCAGAGAAGAGATTTAGTGTGGAGTACCTTACTGACCCTAAGGGGACTCACTTTGGATTTAATTTGGAGTCTGTGATGACCCACCATGAGAGGGATGTACCACCATCCTGGTCTTTGATGGTACCTGACATCTGGAATGATGATTCTTATATGCAGCCATAACCTATGCGTCTCTGGTGAGTGCGCATTTCTATTATTTGATGGCAGTAAAAGCTCTGGAAAGTTCGCATCATTTCAGAAAATACCGTGGATATTTTATTGACGTGATCGCTGCACTTTTATTATTTTATGTTTATATTGATATTCTAGAGGTATGTGGTTACCTGGAGTGTTCTATAAGCTGCTGTATACATATAAGAGCGCTCACTACAGTTTGTTTTAAAATTAGATTAACATGACTGCTGCTTTTACTTTCCTCCCCACAATGCTCTATTGCTGGAAACACTGAGCTGCGACATACAGCAGGTGGACAAAATGATGACAACCCCCACGTGATAGAGGAATTTAACCCCTTCACGCCTAAGGGTAAAACAAATCTAAAATGCCTAAGCACAATTCTGCACAACGTTGACCTGTGATAGTCTAAAACCGTCCATATCATCACAACTACTTCGTACATCCAGGTGGATTATACCTTGATTTTTTCAGGACAAAATGGGCTTTCATTTGGTGGTAAATGGTAATGGATAGTTCCTGATTTTTTGTTTTTATTATCAAAGGAAAACTGGCCCAAAACAGTAAAAAAAAATAGTAAATAGTAGTAAAAAAAAAAAAAATCATTTTTTTTTTAATTAATTTAGCTTGTGTATTTCTTGTTACGACCATAACCTACCACCAAGGAACAACCCAAAATAAATTCTCCAGCTCTTGACGATCGCCAGCGATACTATATATGTGTATGGTATTTGTTGTTTGTACTCGTAGTACAGCCCAGAAACAATAGTGCACATTTTTGTTTTTGTCTATTTTTTTTTTTTTTTTTTTTACCCTAAAACACACCTGACACTGACATTAACACTAACCGACACTGATACCAAATTTTTTTTTTTCAAATCCTGACCTTTGACCCTGACCTTGACCCAAACACTAAACCCGGGCACTGAACTAGATCAAACCTTGATCTAAGGTATTTTTTCTTTATTTTTTATTTTATTTTTTAATATTTAATTTATTTATCTTCTTTTTTTTTTACAAACATTTTTTTTTTCTCTATGCCAGGGAGTTAGAGAGATAAAATGTATCTCTCTCCTCCATTCGTAGAGAGAGAAAAAAAACAAGGGGGCTGGGCTGTACAGTGACTGATCACTGTGATAGCCAATCAGAGAGGCTATCACAGCGATCATGTGACCCGGAATCGGGAGTCCCGGGTCTCGATCGTTAGAATGGGACCCGGTGCTCTCAGTGACACCGCATTCTTTGTGCTGGGAGCGTGCAGTGCGGCGCGCTCCAAGCACAAAGACAGATACGCGCAAATATGCGGCCCCCCGGAAAAAAGCCCAGTTCCGTGAGCCCCGCATATTTGTGTGATGTCGGCGTCAAGGGATTATTAAAGTAGACCGCAAATTAAGTATGTACAGTATAAGACGTGGTTTTAAAGTGGGATAGCCGGGGTTATTGGCTGAAGCTACAGACATGAACCTCTGTATTTTTTTTTCAGCAGCCATTTCCCTTTCTTATTAAAGCGATCTGAGTTGGGATTGCTTTGAAAAGCAACGGCAGGGGAATGCCCAGGATCCGATCCAGTGGTTCCGAGGGGTGCAACACAGACCTGGATCATCTTTTCTCCACTTCTATGATCTAGGACAGTGTTTCTCAACCTTTTTTCAGTCAAGTCACCCTTTAAAATTATGGACAGTTCTGAGGCACCCCATTCTAAAATGGAGTGCCTCAAGACTGTCCATTTTTAAAAGGCACCCCATTTTGTTGAAATGTGAAAAACTATACTAATAGTTTTATATATTGCAGCAACACCCACACATGGAGGACACCCACACATTAGAGGTGATTTATTCTCCAAAGCAAAATACACTTTTGCACACCATGGTACTGACTAGTATTCCAATGTTTCTCCTCTCCCTCAGTTTTTATCCATCACTGAGCTAATGTGCGTGGACCCCAGCACTGCATGGAGAGGGGTGGGGGAGGGTCAAACTAGAATGCTGTGCAGGCAGCTGACATCCTCCTTATCAACTGATGATGCCATTGGTTGTCAGGATGCAGATGGCTAGGAAGGTCGTAATGGTACACAATGAAAACCTGTGGCTTTGTATTGTCAACAAAAAGGCAGACTTGTTCCATGAACACTGGATTGTTATACAACTTTTGGGCAATTTTTAGAGACATTTTTGCCAAGGCACCCCTGCACGAAACCTTAAGGCTCCCCAAGTTGAGAAAGGCTGATGCTAGGAAGACTGGAGTGACGTTGTGATGTCACTTCCTGTCTGGGCAAAATGTAAACTTTTTTTTTTTTAATCATAAGAGCCTTCTTTTTTTTTTTAGATGCTTTTAAATGTAGAGGAGACTATTTTGGGGTCTCATTTTGGTTATAGAGACCCCTGATGTTACGTACGGAAGGACCTGTCATCCCTAATTTCTATCACAAGGAATGTTTACATTCCTTGTAATAGGCATAAAAGTGATAAAAAAAAAAATTAAAGGCAGTGTAAAAAAAAAAAAAATTAATTAAAAAGCGTACTTTTGCATACATAAGTCGTGCATGCATGTGTAAACTGTTCGCTCCACACATGTTGAGGTAACGTCAGAGCGGGAGAACAATAATTCTGAGCACTAGACCTCCTCTGTAACTCTAAACAAGTAAACCTGTAAAAATGTTTAAAATTGTCACCTATGTGCCATTCCACGAGGAGTGCAATTTTAAAAAAGTGACATGTTGGGTGGAACATCATCTTTCACATTTTCTAAAGAATTGGGCTATATATTGTGTTTTGTTTGTTTTTTAATTCATCAAAAGTGTAATTTTTTCTCATAAAAACTGAAAAACCACTGCACAAATACCATGTGACATAAAAATTTTTCAACAATTGCCATTTTATTCTCTAGGGTCTCTGCTAAAAAATTTTTTCAAAAAATTATATATATAGTATATTAGTAATATGGGTGGAGTGCACAACGATGATCAATCACAGTGCATAGCAATCGGGCACTGCCAAGGCTATATATAGAAAAAAAGATATATATACTATATATATATATATATATATATATATTGAAATATATATATATAAATAATGTTTGGGGTGCTGAGTAATTTTCTAGCAAAAAAATCAGATCTTTACTTGTAAACAAAAAGTGCCATAAAAGGCTTGGTCATCGCAGCTTGGCCAGTCAGATGGCTGTGTGACAGAGCGCCGGCCTGGAGGTGTGGGCTTTGTTTGTTTAAGGTAAGTCCTTCATAATGTGCTAGTATGCAATACATTATGACATTACCTTGCAAGGGATTTTTTTTTTTAGGTGTGATTTACTACCACTTTTAACACATTAAGCACACAAAAAATAAAATAAACATCCCCTAGTAAAATGTTTGTTAAAATTCTTACCCCAGCACTTGCGGTTTACACTTTTAAAGTGTTACTAATACCAGGACCCTGCATTCACTATATCTGCCCTCCTTGGACCCTGCATTCACTATATCTGCTCTCCTTGGACCTGCATTCACTATATTGCCCCTCCCCGGACCCTGCATTCACTATATCTGCCCTCCCCGGACCCTGCATTCACTATATCTGCCCTCCTTGGACCCTGCATTCACTATATCCGCTCTCCCGGACCCTGCATTCACAATATATCCCGCTCTCCCCGGACCCTGCATTCACTATATCCGCTCTCCCCCGGACCCTGCATTCACTATATCCGCTTCCCCGGACCTCTGCATTCACTATATACGCGCCTCCCCGGACCCTGCATTCACTATATCCGCTCTCCCCGGAACCTGCATTTCACTATATCCGCTCTCCCCCGGACCCTGCAAGTCACTATATCCGCTCTCCCCGGACCCATGCATTCACTATAATCCGCTCTCCCCGGACCCTGCATTCACTATATCCGCTCTCCCCGGGACCCTGCATTCACTATATCCGCTCTCCCCGGACCCTGGGCATTCACTATATCGCTCTCCCCGGACCCTAGCATTTCACTTATATCCGCCTCTCCCCGGACCATGCCATTCACTATATCCGCTCTCCCCGGGACCCTTGCAATTCATATATCCGCTCTCCCAGTGACCCTGCATTCACTATATCCCGCTCTCCCCGGGACCCTGCAATTCACTATATCCGCTCTCCCCGGACCCTGCATTCACTAATATCCGCTCTCCCCGGACCCTGCCATTGCACTATAATCCGGCCCCCCCGGGCCCTGAATCCACTATATCCGGTCTCCCCGGGCCCCTGCAGTTCACTATATCCTGGTTCCTCTCCCGGGCCCTGCAATTTCACTATATCCCGGTCTCCCCTGGGCCCTGCATTCCTATATCCGGGTCTCCCGGGCCCTGCATTCACTATATCCGGTCTCCCCGGGCCCTGCATTCACTATATCCGGTCTCCCGGGCCGGTCCCCCGGGCCCTGCATTCACTATATCTGGTCCTCGGACCCTGCCCATTCTGGTCTCCCAGGACCCTGCATTCACTATATATGGTCTCCCGGACCCTGCATTCACTAATCTTGTCTCCACATTACACATCAACATGGAAATGCAATTATTTTAGGTAAATATAAACTGCTAATTACCTTTTCTCATCAGCATTTAGAGCAGTCTTGTGACTTCAGTAAAGCACTGGTCAAAGCTTGTAGAAGGAGTTTTCTTTCTGCTCTAGAAGATGCAGAACCCCTGACCCTCTGTTTGGACAGTGCTGATTGGCACTGTTGATCACATTTGCACTCTCCCACGAAAAAAAAAAAACCCTCTCTAGCAGTACACACTAATCTGAGCATGTGCATGTGGTTACAGGTTCAGTTTGTCTTATCAGGTGGACATTTGAACAAGAGGAGGAGCAGAGAAGACAGGATTCAAACGGCTTGTTTACACAATGCAGAGGATTAACCCCTTAGGTTCCACAGTGAGTATATCAAGCATGCTTTACTGCATCTACAGACTGATTGTACTGTTGGGGGACTTTAGTAACACTTTAATGCTGCTGGCTCCTGCTCTCTAAGGCTAGTGTTCACACTAGTACAGGGTTTGATACAGTTTTTTTCAATGAGATTTTGTAGTACAAACTAGGTGTGTTTTGTTTTTAATTTCATGTTTAACTGCTGCGACTCATCCTGCTGTTAGGCAGCCAGCAGGGCTGAGTCTTTGGTTGTTAATAGGTGCTTTGGTAGGTGGGTCCTCCACATGTTGAAGGGGGGTATGTGGCTGCTGAGCTGCTATGCTCAAAATAAGGGTGAATCTGGTATTCATTTTGGGGGGACCCCCACGCATATTTTATTTTGTGCTTTTTTTTCGGCATGGGGTCCAACTTAAATCCCAAACAGACCCTGAAGAGGCCTGGTATGGATTAAGGGGAGACACCCATTGCTGGCTCTTTTGTTTACATTCTGCTGTCGGCGGGGAATCCCTCTCTGACAGCAGGGATGAATCATCATTGTTAGGATGCCGGCGGGTACCTGCTTCTTAACAACCGCTGGCAGCAATGATGAGTCATTGGTTGTTAGGGCACCGGCTGGTGTGCCGGCTCCTAACAAACCAGTACAAATCGCACAACAAAAAGCGCATCAAAAAGACATGCAATTATTTTTTTGTTTCCATTTTTTAGGTCTATGGACCACAAAATCCACACTGCATTGCACAAAAGTAGCACAGGACCCTTCACCAAAGTCACATTCACAGCTGTGCTGCATTGATATGAACAGGCACCACTGGAAAACAATGCCCTTTTCATTGTCATGTGATTCAAAACGATACCCTAGTTGCATCTGAAATCGGACATCAGTGTAAACCAAGTCTTAATGCTGCTTCCTGAACTTCCAGGTCTTCATGGGAAAGAGTTTACAATGGAAAAAGTGTAGTCTCAAAACCTATCTCTTAACTTGGAGAAGGGTGGGTGAGGAGGCTCTAAGAGGGAGGTGCAAGGGAGTGCCTTGCCATCGGTCTCCCTGGGGCTGTGTGTTTCTATTGAAGCACACAGTGCGTAACGAGACACAACTCTAGCCCACCCTTCATGCAAGAGTGGCTTCATAGGATGCTGTGTGCAAGAGAAAGGAGCCACCCTGAAACAGGAAAAAAATGGCAGAGCACAGCAGCAATCATGACACCGTAGACCCCTGCTTCCCGAAACTCCCCCCGGGACTTCATAACCTTGCTTGGGTAATGTTGGTTACTTGCAATGCTGAACCTAGCCTCATCATTCACAAGTCTTGTAATTAACGCCTCCTCTCTTGTGCAGGGAAATTACCATTTTACTGCCACACTGTTGAGGTTTCTCACAATGATGGCATTAAGAATCTGCAGTAAGTCGAATACAGCTCGTCTCTCTTTCCTGGCTGCAAAACTTCTAGCTCATCTAGCACTTTCCTCCCAACTGACCATCCCTGGCCAGCTCCTTTCATACACTGGATATCAGGTTTTTAAAAAATGTAGGCGCGAGCCATCACATGGGTGGGTGGTTACCTAGGGTGGGCCTACAAAGCAGTCTGCCTACGGAATGCCCACTCCGCCGCCACACTGACACCTACCCATCAAGGCATTTTTATATTTGCATAACTCCTCCCAAGAGTTGGCATATGATCTGCCATTAGGACTGAGGCTGGGTTTTCTGTGCGAATTCCGCACCGCATCAGAATCGCACCCGTTCATGGGATACTGCTGTAGCTGTGATATGTTTAACCTCACTGGCTGGGTATTCCCGAGTTTTTAGCTCGGGGGGGAAAGGTTTTAGCACCACAAAACGGTAACCCCGAGCTTTCACTCGGGGGAAAACACTGCAGCGTTGCTCCGGGATTTTCTTCTGCATTTCCTTGTCCTGCGCCCCGCGAAGTCCCCCCTGCAGGGGTCCCCGGCCCTCTCCTCCGGCCGATGCCGGCATCTGTCTTCCGGGGTTTCGTTCCCTGCGACGTCGGGGCGTACCGGGGGGGCGGGGAAAGGGGGAAATTAAAAAATTTTAAAAAATGACATTCACTAAAAACACTAAATCAATAGTAAAACATTTTCCCGTTCCAAAACCCTTTCACATTTAAATTTTGTCCCGGTGGGTTTGTCCGGCGCCCCCGCCTGCATTTTTACTGGGTTTTTTCTGCCTGGAAAAATTTTAAAAAAAATCCATGGGTCCAAAAAAAGGGCCCTTTTGGTTTAAAAGCGGGTTTTTGACGGCCTAGAGAACAGCGATAGTTAAATCCGAAAACCCCTTGCAGAAATTTAGTGATAATGATTGTGGGGGAAATTCCTCATCGACCCCTGAAAAAGATTCTGCGGGCTTTGCCCCAAACGATGTTTCGGAAACTTGGCGTTTTTCAAATTTCCGGGGTTTTTGGTTTGGGTTACATTATTGAATTTTTCCCTTATTTATATTATTTTTTTTAAAAAAATTTTTTATTATATTATAATTTATGATTTCGTTTTTTCAA